GCAAATTTAACTAGAAAAATGTCACTTGATAATTTGCTATTATGGTAATTATATTTTACATCTTCCTTCTCTTATTATCTTTATTTTGTTGTAATTATTAGATTTTTTTATTTTTATTTTTATTTTTGTTAAAAATTTTAAATACCAAAAACATTTTACTTGTTACAAAAATCTGACCACAATCTAGAATTTTTTAAAAGAAGAAAAAGAAACAAATAGAAAGAAAGAGGGAAGATTGTGTACAGAATTAAAAGAAGAATGAGAGAATGAAAGATGGGCAAAGTGTTACCGTAGTGAATGGGTTGTACGCAAATAATATAATAACTATTTGTATGAAAATAATATTATAAAAAATATATATAAAACATTCCAAAATTTTACTGGGGCAAAGACGATAATGTTTGCATTAAATCTAACACATAGACCATTGTAAATGAGATAAATTATTCTTCATAAGTTCAAACATGAATATGATGTCATGAGCTCACCTAAGTTGACTTGAATTTTACTTTAAAGAATCAAGCAAGTAAATTAGTGACAACAGCTTAAGCTAAACACGTAAGTAATCTTGTGGCCCCAACATGCACCATATTTTTTATGTTATGCTTGTGTGCTTTATGCATTGAAATGTGATGTTTTATTATGTATACAATGGCATGTCATGTCAATTATATCATGTTAGGAATAAAATGAAATCCTCTCTAAGAATAGAATTGAAAAATGATGTAATAGACTACGTGATGTTTACTAGGTATACATAGTGCATGTACGGAATATGTCATGGATGAAATGAGAAAAGGAATGACGTTAATACTATGTTTTAAATGTAAATCATGGGCACCTCATGCATGTATGTGTGTCATGTGCATCAGGATACTTCCCCGTTATGTTATGTTAATACGGATTTGTACCTTCAATATACTTGTTTCTCATGGTATTTCCTTTTCTGTGGCATTTGGCGATGTGTAACCCATTAAGCCTAAACATGTTAGGCCCAGGGGTACGTATATGAACCCACCTTGCCCGAAACTGAAAATAGTCCAAGCACATGTGACAGTTTTAAGATAGGTCTCATCCTGTTATGTGCGTGATTGCATTGCTAAACCCAACCGTCGGATGGTTTACTGAGTATTTCGTAAAATACTTAAGTCATGTGCTACCCTTATACTTTCCAGGTAAAGTTAAAGCTCCACGTTTGGATCAGGTGACCTGGAAAGAGCATGGAAGTCAGAATAGGGCATGATAGAGTAGTAGAACGCATTGAATTTTATTTTATTTAGTAGTTGGTAAGTGTTTTAAATGCAATTTTTTTTATATATATTTAAAAATATGTTATGGTTAATTTATGGTTTAAAATTAAATATATAAGTCCACGAATTTATTTTTAAATTATTTATTATGAACTTTACCGATGAGATTAAAGCATGCTTGTGTAACGCCACTAATTTTGGCTAAAAAAATAGGGCGCTACATATACTATTCTTCAAACATCTTCCATGCAAGTCACACAAGGCACATGTCTAGCAATGTTGACCTTCATTGTGACACATGCAGGCCTTTTCTTATGCAAACGGTAACTCTATTGATGATATAAAAGTTGATGAAAAGAGGAAATCATGCTTGACCACCCACCATATGTTTGACAAAAAAAAGGTTGAATTTCATATCAATGAGCTATTTTACTATGTAAGTGACTGGGCTTGTTGGTAACTGGGAAATCATGCTTGACCACTCCTGCTTAGGTCAATTGGTAACTAGGCTTGTTGTTAAATGCTCATATGCTTGGTTGGATAACCTGTATGTATGACTGATACGTACTCTGTGGCACCTATACGTGTCAATTTTTTATGATGCTATGTTATGTTATGATTATGCGGTATTATGAAATGATGTTTTTATATGAATGTTATATGATGCATTTACTTCCATATGTCATGGTTTGTATATTATTTTTGCATGTTAATACTATGCATATGAGACATTGATAAATCATGCATGCTTCATAAAAACATTATATCATGAAAAGAATGGAGGTGCAGTTTTTATCATAACTACGTACCATGATTTGAAACTAAAGGACTTCATGCATTTTGTATGTTATGTGTATCGAGATATTTTCCTATTATGATTAGTATAGACGCACACCATGATATTATATGTTCTCCTTTCTCTTTGTGGCTTCCGGTAGCATGATTATGCATTGGGCCATAATCAGGTAAATCGATACATATATGACCTTGACTTGTTGGTCCATGTGCATGTGCGTGAGCCGCGTATTGAGAAGTACAACGTATCCAACCCTACAAGGATTAGAAAGTAATGACCAAGGAAAAGTGCTACGGAAAGTTAGGTCTTATCGTAATTGCATTTTCCAACCTTAATAGTTGGGCTACTTACTAAGTATATTTAAATACTTAAGCCACGTGCTATTTTTTTTTTTCATGTAAACGTATGACACTTATGTACGAACGATGATGTCACTAGTGAGACAAACTTCACATTCACCAATAACAAAGAGTCTACACTCATGTTGGCCAAGAAGATGTCAAACCTATTGGTGTTTAATGATGAAAAGGCTATGGGGAACCCCTTTACAGATGTTGAAAACCAAATGGGGACAAACATGTGGTACTTAGATATTGGAGTGAGCAACCACGTGACCGAAGATTGAGCAAAGTTAAGAGAGCTTAATGAGAAGTTATTGGAAACATGAAGCTTTATAATTGTGAGAAGTTATTGGAAACATGAAGCTTTATAATGGATCAATTGTAACGATCCAAGACAAATGATTCACTTTGTTTCAGTGTAAGAACACGATCAATGTTTAATGACCAAGGTATATCACATCTCAAGTTTGAAGAACAATATTATTATCCTCGGTCAAATTATAAAATATTATTAAGCTCGTTTAGTGAGATATTTGAGTAAAACAGAGCCTTGTCGATCAAGGTAAAATAATTGCAAATCGCTTGTATAAGATACTAATGAAAGACCATCAACATTTTCTAAAAACCTCCATTAACATTATAGCAAGAAAAGAAAGAAGAAACAAGTGGATCGAAAGAAAAGGAAGCCGAAAAAATGAGCCAAGGAAAAACAGAGACTAATCCATGAGTCATAAGCACTTCTTCAAATACATAAATCTTAGTCAAACATCTTAACGGTTGCCACAAAAACCTTAATTCCTTATAATGAGTCTCCTCATGAGATCTCCCTCACTAACCCTTATAGTCATGAGTGAGTAGCATATAAAGTTTCATTAACACTTGAACTTCTTTAGGGTCTTGAAACATTTCAAAATTCTTATAGGACTATTTTGGCTATTTACAAACCCAAAACTTGGTTTAAGCTCTCAACATATTTCAATGATCTTGAAACTTTTCACAATCATTTTAAACCACGAAATAAGACTTCATTTAATGTCATTTAGAGGTCACATGAGTCATAAACTAGTGGTATGTAACTTTAGAGTCATTTTGGTTATTTTACACTTATCCTTTGTTCAACCCTTTAACATTGTCAAATGACCTCCAAATTTCATGCGTGTCAAGTCCTCGATTAAAATATCATGGATATCAGAGTGACATGTCCTCTATTAAAATATCATGGATATCAGAGTGGTTGAGAGGGTTATTTTAAAGCAATTATTCTATAACCCCTTTTAACTCTTACTTAAATTAGAGTTCATACACATTTTTAAATGATTCCTACCCATAAAACTTGAGAAAAGTCTAGATTGACTTGAAAAAAATTCATATACTTTCTTTACGGTGAATCTCCCTCTTTCCTCAATCTCAATTCATAGTTTCATAATTGTATGTCATATTTTGGACACCTCATATTGCAATTCACATCCATACAAGCCTCGAAAACATTGATAATCATAAAACTACCTTGTTTTTTTTTTTTTTTTTTCCTTTTATGTTTTGAAACATCCGATTAAAACATCTAATCTTCTTCAGCAAAATCATTTTCATGTGTACACTAGTTTTAGTAGCTTACTACTTTTAATGATGCTATAACTTGACGATGTTAGATAATCATGTGTACACTAGTTTTAGTAGCTTACTACTTTTAATGATGCTATAACTTGACGATGTTAGATAAACACAACTCTCCAATGATATTGTTCACTTTGAGCATAAACTCGACTCCTCTTTCTTTTAGAGTCCTTTGTTTTACCTATGAGGATTCTATTGACATGATTAAGTTTAGGGCATGACTCTG